TACTAAAAGTGTCTAAGGAATGTTCTGTCTTAACTGCTGTTGCCCTTACCAACCAATCAACTTACATCTTTAGTTTTTTTTCCACACTGCTTAGAAAATTAACATTTAATATCTGATTGCCTGCACTCCAGTTGAGACAAAGTTGAGACAATGTTTTTATTATTCTTTTCCCCTTTGGCCTCATTCACACAGGTAGTGACAAACCTGTGTTTATATGCATTTAGAGCACATTTCTAAACGCATATAAATGCATGTCATTGATTTTTTTTATGGTATCATTACGACTTTGCATTTACCTTCGTTCAAAAGACACTAAACAAAGAGTTAAATATTAAAAATGCATTCAAGTACCCTAACTATTACCAAAAATGTATCTTATTTGTGTATCACTCGGCTGTAGATTCTCAAATCATCTCTGAATTGGTGCTGACACTGTTTGTTCCCCATGGTCCCTGTGTGTGTTGTATACCGTATTTTGCGGTCCATAAGACGCAATGGACCATAGGACGCAGGGAGGTCCGGCGCGCCTTATGGAGAAAAATACGGTAATAGCCACCGCTCCAAGCTCGCTCCTATGACGGACTACAATTTCATGTTTAGTTTAATCATTTTTATTGAGATTGTAGTCCATCATGGGAGTGATGCTACATTTTTGTTAGTAGGTTTTAAATTTCAACTTTTAAGTTTAGTGTCCCTTTCAGTTTAGCTGCTTTTTGGAAATGAAGAGTCCAGGATCCGCTTGGAAACAGTAAACGCAGCTAAATGCTTTAAGCTGAAACATCTAAATGCAGGAAAAAGTGCCCTGGGAGGCATAAAAATTAGGTAGACTTGCCAGATAATTTATCTTGCATTTAGAAAAGCTAAACGCAAGAGTCCAAGTGTGAATGAGGCCCAAGTGCAAATACTCATAGCAACGGTAGAGTGAATCTTTGATTGGTGGGTTATTTCACTTAAGGATTAGCACATGAGAATACAACAAAATATTTTTCATGCGGGTGCTTATGAGGAAGAGTGTGTATGGTCAGGCCCAACACTTTTCATACTGAAGATCTGATTAAATGTTTATGAGAGAGTCACAGAATCATCCAATATCAGTATTTGTGTTCATGTAATTGTGAATTGGGCCAGAATCATCCGCTGTCATTCCAAGTTCACGTCTGAAATGTCACTTTGGCTGATATAGAAGACTTTTCTCAAATGGTTAGGGCCTCAGCTGGAGTTACTTAAACCTAAACTAATCTGTGCATGATAAAACCCTTTATTTTATAGTTGCCAAAAAAACAGTAGCACAGTTCCCCGGCCAAGGGAAAATGAATGGTGTGTTTCACATGCAACTTAAATGGCATTTACCCATATGTTGGGTAAATGCCATTTGCCAAAAATTCCATTTGCATGGCATTCCTGCCACTAAGTGGAAATTCCTATGCTCCCCACCTCCATTTAATGGCAGGAATACTTTTTTTTAGTTTTGGACAGAGTGTGGAAGGGTTAGACTCTCTTCTAAGGTTTTATTTTGGTATGTGTCCCGCTAGGGAGATTCCAGCTCCATTTGTCTTGGTGACCATTGTTACTGATACAGAAAGCAAGGAGAAAAGCTAAATTGAAAGGGTTAGGTCACCTTTTCTCAAAAAATAAAAAGGGTTTACTAACTCACAACACCGTCCCCAATGCACTTAGCTGCTTAGATGACAAGCTTCAGCTGCCTGTGCCAGCCGGTATTCTGAACCAACCAACGACCAATTGGATTGCCCCATTATGACGCAACACAACTTCACTACAAAGCCCTGGAGGCTTTGTGGCAACATAATGCAGCAGTGCAAATGGCCATTGGTCAGTACAGCCACATGACCACTCTGACCAATGAGAATTTCTTCTGAGCCTTCTCTCTTCTATGAATGGTGTCCCGAAAGAAAGAAGAGCTTCTCATTGGTGGTGGGAAAGTTGTTGTGAGTTAGTTCACCTTTGTGTAAAGGTGAACTAACCATTTCAGAGTTGCCATGAGAGCAAGAGGTGAGGGGAAATCGTCCAATGGTGACAAATGTTCTAGTAACAACTGGCTAAGATTGCAATTTATTTTACTTTAGGAAGATTTCCTCTCACTTTCTGTTGTTTTTCCAAGACAGGAAGGGAATAGAAACCTCCCCAGACAGCAAATACTGTATAAACCCAATAGGGGTTTAACTCTTCATGACTTTATCTAAAACTGAAAAAAACAGTTTGGGCTATACATACATTTTAATATTGTCTCCTACATGGTGGGGCATTTTGTAGGACTTGTGGAGCTGTTCCTAACCAACTAAAGAGCCTTGTTTTATTTTCCCATTATGGGTCCCAGAATGTCAGTGAAACACATGGTTGCTGTGGATAACTACACAGGAAGAAGTTTGTGTTCTAATCTATGCTAGAAATATTCTTTTTCTGGGCGGAGGTGTCATAGAAGAAATTTACTGCATGATCTGTAAAACTGAGGGACAGAAATGAGTGTGTGTTACCAGTAGAGATGAGCCAATGTGCACAATCGAGGACTGTTCTGCAAGAAAACTTGACAACTATCTGAAGGATAAATTTGGTCAAATCAAATTTCCACCAAGACAAATAATTTCAATTGTTCATTTACTAATCAAACTACTCATTTAGTGCAATTGGTTTCCTAAAGATATGATTCTTTCATCAGAATAATCGTTATATGTGTATATGACAAGTAGTGATGAGTGGGGGCTTGGTGTGAAGTCAGTTCACCTGAGTTTTTCCAAGCCCACACAAAACTGTGATTGATACTTCCCCTTCCAGCCCAATCAGTTATGGCAGGGGCATTCCCAGCACCTTTTCTGGAGCCACTGGTTGTGGAAGCTTCACGGCTGTGAATCCTCTGGAGGAGGACAGCAAGGTTCAGGATGGTGGAGGTGAATGCCCTCGCAAGTAGCTTGACGTTCTACCACGCTAGAACGCCGAGCAAGTGAGCCTTGTTAGCTCTTGTAGGAGAGGCAGTGGGTGGAGCCGTCAGCAGTGGCCCTCCCGACCGTCTCCTAGCAACGGAAATGCTGTGTGAAGGCGGGCCTACTCTGCCTGTCACTCAGACACTGTACGTGTCTGGGAGCGGCGTCTGAGAGTAGAAGCCCTGGAGGGAACGCGACCGGAAGGTCGCCTAGCAACCAGACGCCGGCGCGGCTGACCCAGGGGACGGAACCTGATTCCCTGACAGGGGGGTGTTAATCACAGTTTTGGGTGGGTTTCGGCAAACTCAGGTGAACCAAGTTCCTGCTCAGTATATCCACATTACATCAGTTTTTGGTCTGTGTCTGTCGATGTATTCCAATGGGCAATTGCAGCATGCTTTTTACATCACTTTAAGACGCTTCTGGGATTATTTAGAACTCTGCAGGTGTAGTCAACGTGTATTTGATTTGCTTTAGCTGCTTTTGCATTCCCATAGACTTGTATGGGGAGATAAGCATTTCCAAAGCAGGCAAAATCTTGTTGATACTGGCTCCTAGTGAAATCCCATCTTTCTAAAAACAAGGTCACTTATAAGCTAGACCTTAGAACGTTTGCAACTTTCATTGGAGAGTCTTACGCTGGGTTCACACCTTAGCGTATTGGAAACTCACGTTTGCCACGCGTTTCTTACCGCGCGGTTTTACCGCGATTTGCGGTAACAGAAACGTGCGGCAAATGCGAGTTTCCGAGGGGGTATCCATTAGGATACAGCCGGATACGCGTATTAATACGCCCCAAAGAAGCTCCTGTACTTCTTTGGGCGTATGGCGTTTTACCGTGCGATCGTACGCGCGGTAAAACGCGCAGGTGAGAACCATGCCCATAGGCAAACATGGGTTTACACCTGTTGCGCGTTTTACCGTACGGTAAAACGCTTAGGTGTGAACCGGGCCTTACCTGCTTGTGCTCTGTAGATGCTGAAACAGGCTATTTCACTAATGTCCTGTAACTGAAGGAAGTGGGGGTGCTTAGTGGAAGAATCTGCCTGCTTTAAACAAATGATTTGTCCCAGTGTTGTAATAAGAGAAAAAACTGCTCTTAACACTTAATAATAATATTATATTACAAAATGACTTTGTGAATAAATTCTATACTGGATGTCATATCAACTTTGAATGAAAGCGGAGGTACCCCTTTTATAAACATCACAGCTGTCTGTCTTCCTGGCAGTGTTGAAACATACATGGGCTAGCCTGCATGTAGAAATATATATGACATATAGACATATTTGTGTGGGGTTCATTTGGCCAATGCTGTTAGCACTAGGGCCACGTTGTTAACAACTGGAGGTGTGTTGGAAGTGATATTAGGTGTAATAGGGCTTACTACACCTCTGGCTGGGGGTACCGCAATTCTGAGGGTATTTATGGTTTACCTGTATTTATATCTCATGTTTTAAATATGATGTAATGACAAGCTCAGTATTTGTTATACACCTTTGTAAATGCATGTTCACTAACTATTTTCTTCTTTCTTTTTTTCTTGCAGACTTTTATAGTATTGAATAGAGGGAAGGCAATCTTCCGCTTCAGTGCCACGTCTGCCTTGTACATTTTAACCCCCTTCAACCCTCTTAGAAAAGTAGCTATTAAGGTTTTGGTACATTCATATCCTTTATCAAAACATATTAACATATGGGCTTTATTGTCAAATGTTTAATTGAAAACTGCTTGATAGAAGAAAAAGTGGAACACAGTGTTAGCTGTCTTAGCCTGTCTAAAGTCTTTCTGTGGGCTCTGTGCTGAACTCAAGAAGTATAGTATACCTGTTATGAATGAAATATGCGGGCTGTGATTGCCGACCTAGCTCTAACAATGCTGGTTTCCTGTCTGTCTCTGATAGCAATAATTTCTGAGTCACTGGTCCAGAGCAAGTATGCAAATGAGGAAAGTCAGGGAAAAGTCAGCGCTCATTATCAGCATACTGGTCAGTGACTCAGAGTATTAAAGCTAGAGAGATCAGCAATGGCAGCCCTCATGATCCTCTCGGGAAAGGTTTCCTTTAAATGTTTTATTCTTTATTGAGTCCTTTTCAAATCAAGTATATTTTGTGTTCTTGTATGTATGCCAATAATAGTTCTGTTTAGTAATCTAGAGAAGTCTATCTTCAGAAAACCTTTTCCACACATCCCTGCCCTGCTATATAGCCAGAGGGTGACAACACTATGAAGGTCAGATTCATACTTCCATTTTGCTGTAACGCATGCATTACTGATCGTGTTTTCACAATGCATGGTAATGCATGTTGCACCTGTGCTGCAGTGTGCTGGGACACATGCAATGCATGGTGGTGTGTTGAATTACAAAAAAGGGTCATGTGCAATTCTAGACACTAGGGTACCTTAACGCAATGCACATTAACGGTCAACAGAACATGTGTAAACACACTTCAAATAACTAAATGGTCCTTAAAGCCTGCATCTTTAGGTCTTCCTGTGTTTTCTCTGCACCTTCAGCCCACTCATTACAGGGTTTCCATCGAAGTGGGAATTCCATTCCTACAGAAGATGGTCTGTCTGTCTCGCATTCCGTAAGTTTAGCTTGAGTGCCTTTAACATGTCACCTGGGCTTCATTCTACAGTGCAGTTCCAAGTGATTGGTTCACAGTACTGGCATGCCTATTACTTGCTTGATTTCTGGTGTTAAAAACATTAGAGAAATGTAATAAAAATATTTTGGGCTTGTTCACACCACAATGCCTGTTATGAAACTAGGAAACTAGCAATGCATTCCTATGGCCAAAAATGTATTTATTTTTTTTTTCTATTCTGACACGGCCCTGTGTCAGAATAGAAAAAAAAAAAAGTTTGGACATAGGAATGCATTGCTAGTTTCCTATTGGCTATTTCAATTTGCAATAGCAAACTAGCATTGCACCCGCCCTCTGCTGCAGTTCTCCATCAGGTCCCCACTACTGATTGACAGCAGCAGAGGGTGGGTACAATAGCTAGTTTGCTATTGGCTATTGCAAATTGAAATAGCCAATAGGAATCTAGCAATGCATTCCTATGGCCAACATTTTTTTTCTTTTTTTTTGACGGCAACAGAACCGCTGGCCAATAGAAAACTGTTGGGCGGAGCTAGCTGTCATTGCTAGCTCCGCACAATCGTTTTCTATTTTAATTTTTCTACTTTTTTAACTATTTTTCTGTTCTGCTCGGTCCCACAGGGAGACCGAGCAGAACAGCCGAGTCGAGTGCCGCTGAGCGGCATTCGGCTATTCACTCACTGCTGTTCTATCTATAAGACTAGACCGAACAGCAGCGAGTAGCTTTTCGGAGGTTCGGCTTAGCCGTTCCAGATGTTGGATCGGCTGAGTCAAACTCCTTCTGCACTTCGGGACGGCCGAGCATGTTCGGCCGTCCCGAAGCCACGTGAAGCCACCCGATGTACGGCTGATTTCAGCCGACATCAGCTGTACCAGCCTGAAGTGAATAGCCGAACAGCGTTTGTCTCACTTCGCTTTAGGTCAGTAATTCACTCGGCTGCCTACGGCAGCTTAGTGAATAGACTCCTATGTGTGTATATGAGGATAGATAGATAGATAGATAGATAGATAGATAGATAGATAGATAGATAGATAGATATCTGCAATAGTAATAAACACCATGTAATCACCTGCTGATATCAAGGAATAAATAGGTATATCAAAACGTATTTATTTTTAGCAATTTAGCATTGTCGTTACATTACAGTCATGTGAAAAAGTAAGTACGCCCCATAGAAATTGTGGACTTTTCCAACATATTTGAACAGACAACCATTAGGTATGCATTTAAACAATGCCTGCAGATGAAGGTCTTATTATTGATTAAAAACACAAGGAAGATTTGACTTTTTTTATTATTTATTTAACAAAAATAGCAGTAGATGTAATGGTACTCTAAAACAGGTATTGGTCACCCCCATATTTAAAAGCTATGCTAGTGCCATTTTACAACCATTGTTCTCCTCATCTGTGTTTATTTGTAAAGAGTGCATAATCAATACACCAGTCTCTTTTCAAGAACATACATCTTCAAGGGCGCTCCTCACGCTAAAAGCTATCTTTAAGATTGTAGTTTTGTTATTAAACAGCTAATGTAAAGAATATAAAGGCCTTCTTAAGTGGAAGCCCCAGCCAAGTCTAAAAACACCTTTTTGTATACTTTCTTAAACAAATAATGACTCTAGTATAATTCTCTGAAATTAGTTTTTTGTTATCTTCCTACATTCCTGTGCACATTAAAAATCAATCCCTTTAAGCTGATTATGTTTGCATTAAAACAACCGCTGTTTATCTTTCAGAATGGAACACAACTTGTACTGTAAATGTAAAGTGATTTATGCAGATTGTATTTTTTTTCTACTGTTTTTCCTTAACAACGACTTACATTATTCAGCATGCTCATTATGTTCACTATTTTGACCAACTGCGTGTTCATGACCATGAGTAATCCCCCAGAATGGACGAAGAATGTAGAGTAAGTATTTCTTGTTTTCTTCTAATAAAATGGTTGCCCAGTCATTAATGAGTAAACTGTTTAACTTACTTATATCAGCCTGGTTTCATTTAGTAAAGAAAGTGTGTATATATATATGTATAAATATTATATACTGTGTATGTATAGGTCACATTTTGTTTGATGGAAATAGAAGGAAGGTGCGTGATGCTGGATATCTTATACAGTGGGGATTTTTAGCCAGTTCTTAAAGCTAAACTCTGGTCACAAGGATTCTCAATTTATTGCAAAGTGTATAAATCCACTTCATGTGCACCAAATCCCTTTGCAAAGGTAATTGTCTTGTAAAAGTAGCAGTGACATCATCACTGTGCTGCACATAGCCTATGCATAGAGCAGAGCTGTGGGAGAGACCCAGGTTTTTGTTCAATACATTTACAAATACATGTTGACACCACAAGCCTTGCCAACAAAATCCTACTGGTGTATGACCAGCTTTACACAATTTAGGCCAGCCCTGTTATTGCCAAATTCTAAGCCACTTTTTATCACCCCATAAACTGTTCTCCACGGTTGATCTCTCTGCTTGGCGCATGGTCTGGAGTATAACCCTGAACCTGCTGCAGGCAGGCTGGGTGGTAAAAAAGTGTATTTACTTCCCAATGGAAACAAATCCCTATATTTACTGCTTTGCATCAGAGTTGTCAGAGGTGGGGAATCAGCATTTTCAAAGGGTAAGGTCAGCAATGTCAGCCTATGGGGGTGATTTACTAACCTAAACACACGCACGCACCAGGTGTGTGTGATTTTCACACAGCAAAACGTATTTATCAACCAAAAAGTCTCTAAAAGCATATTTCCACTAATGCCATATATGGAAAAATCATGCACATGATGCATATATAATGCTGCTTCACAGTTTAGACAAAAATGGTTAGCTCATGCATTTACATTCCTGCATTCATCAACGCAAGCAACATGACATAGAGCTAATTTACACAACATCACCTTGCAATTCATTGCAGGGCTTTGCACAACACAAATGCTGGGTGTGTACACACTACAAAGGTGTTTCGATTCCTCCCATAGATCATGCTGGGAGGGAACACACTACAGAGGTGTATACACGTTCATGGTGTGTTTATAAGGTTAGTAAATCAACCCCTATGTGTCTATCAGTTCCAATACCTTTAAAAAAGAATTTCAGCTGCTTAAAGAAGAATTTGAAAACAAAAAAACTTACCCTGGCAGTGGGGCTACCCCAGCACTACAAGTGTTAAGTGCTCATTTTGTCCAGGGGGCCCAGATAAAGCAGATACACTCACATGATCCTCAGCCCCACGGCAGTCAGCGCTCACCTCTCTCCCCCTCCGCTGCAACTGCAGAATGTCCCTGGGTATCCTCACGTCTAATGCAAGTCAATGAACCTGCATAAGATGTGATGACATCACTGGTTCTTAGCCCAGGGAAGAAGAGGCTGCGGGGACCGGTTTATCAGCACAGGGGGACAGAGGATCAGGTGAATAAACCGTCTTTATTTGAGGCCCCTAGACAACCTAAGCACTTAACCCTTGAAGTGCAGGGGTAGCCCCACTGCAAGGGTATTTTTTTTTACATGTCTGTAGTTCTTGTTTAATTAGCTACAAGTCCCAGCATGCTCTGGCATATAGGCAACAGTGATGCAAGAGATTAATTTTTTCCTATATGATTTCCATCATGTGTGTGTTAGCTACCTCATCGCACACTGTAGGATGATGGCTTCTTTTAGCTCAGCAATATAGCAAGAGGAAAACCCCTTGTGGATTCTATTTATATTAGCTTAAGTGCTATTGGCCATTTCATTTCAGCTGCTTTCTATCATCCTCCAGAGGAGACTCTGAGGGAAAGCAGAGGAAGTAATTCAGTAAAGTTTGTTGCCCTTCAAAGCTTTCTCAAAGCCAAATGGCGCAGGGAGGGGTAATACATTAAGCTAGCAGTTTAAATGACACATCTGAATCTCACTCTCTTCAGAGGGAACAGATTACTGGTTCAATCACTAACTGGGCTGGGAGTGAGAGCCATGGAGACATTAGCTTTACGCACTCTGTTTTTAAAGGGGACCTGCTATGCAGCAATAAAACAAACTGCCATTAATAAAAATAGCCAGAGTTAAAGCTAAAGATATACATATATTATGCAGCAAATTGTTGGCGCTATATAAAAACCATGTAATAATAAAAATAATAATAATAATGTCAGCTGGGAATTGCAGTGGCCGATTAGAGCCAATTAGAAATCAGTTCTATTCTAGGCAATTTCCTGTAATTGGTCAGGACGTGTGTTCTGTGGCAGTAAAAGACACGTTTCCCATCTCAGGAATATTTACATCTGTCCAATAGCAGTTTTGTGTAGACATATGAAAATGTGAATATATAAGGAGCTGTACAGCCATACCAGACAATCAGTGTGACAAAGTTATGTTTGGTGTTTTTATAAAGGTATATTGCCACAGGTAGGTAGGTGCACACATCCAAGCTGTTCCTGTTGAGTCATTTGTAAGCCTTTGACTGGGTTTAGCCTAGGAAGGTGAATGTATACATTAGGGCATATTCGGTGTGGATCACACTTAATACCTAGTTCACCTTTATTTGCATCATATTCAAGAATAACTCATATCTGCTTATTCCTGACACGTAGAAACCCTAGTTCCCAAGGAATGAATAGAAATCGTAAGACTTTTATAGATATACAGTATAAATCAGATAAAGAATCAAAGTTATACAAGATATAATATAATAAGATTTAAAAAAACTAATGGAGATTAGCAAAATTTAACATTTTTACTCCCCTAACATTTTAGAAAGTGAACATTTTTTATGAACATTTCACCATTTTGGAAAGTCAATGTGGAAGTTGAAATAAATGTGGTTTTTAAGGGTGCGAGGGGCATTATTGGGCCATATTTTACCTATCCTGGGCCTGTCCTTGTGCTAAAAAATGCCCTTCATGAGCCTCATCAATTTGACTGTTTTTGTTCACAGAAAACACAGACAGTGACAAAGAAAAAAAGTAAACGTAAAAGTAAAAATGATTGTACGCAAACAATAATCAAAATCACAAACCAAGAAAACAAACACAAATAAAAAAACATTACACAACTAAACCACCATAAATACACACAAATACACTCTATAAATTAAAAAACAAATAGGTGTTAAAAAAAAACATTTAACCTAAGCAGCTTCATTTTTATTATTATTATTTAATTTTATTTTGGTTTTTGGGTAGGAAGATGTACTGTCAATTTAAATCTGAACTCCAGGAAATTGGCTGAATACAGTTAGACACAGATATTTATATGGGAGCTGTTTTAAATTAGAAATGTTTTTTTCTTCTCCATCTATTACTGGGATTTACACAACTCTGCCTGACAGCAAAGCCAGGATGGTGAGCTGATTTTTCTGTACTTATCTTAAATTCAGCTTGATTATCTGCCCACTCCGAGCTTGTGATTGGACAGTGAAGAAGCAGCAGCAGAGTAATTATGTCAACACTCTCATCAGCATATTGTATTTTTGTTGTTAGCACATGGGTATGTAGAACACCTAATTGGCCCCCAGTGCTAACTCACTCTCTTTTAGCCTGAGAACTGCTGCACAGTGGATTATGAGAGGTTGATCTATTTGCACTAAATCACATTGATACAAAATGTTTAAATTCTATTTCCATAGCATACTCAGCAATTGTTTGTAAGAAATTATAATTGTGGATTTTCTCTAGAAAATTCCCCAAAGTATCTTGATGTCGCGTCTAAGTGTCCTCGTATACAGTATGTATAACACCAGTCAGGGTTCGTCAGTGAATGGGAACGATTAGATATATCAGCATATTACATCCATTATACCATATTGTGTCACAAGTGTATGATGTTATACATGATGACATATATGTACAAATGCAGATGATGACATATATACTTTATATATGATGTTATAATAATGCCCTGTGTGATCCCTTCTTGCAGATACACATTCACTGGAATCTATACATTCGAGTCTCTGATAAAAATTCTTGCAAGGGGTTTTTGTCTAGAGAAATTTACTTTCCTGAGGGACCCATGGAACTGGCTGGATTTCAGTGTAATCCTTATGGCGTAAGTATCACATTTTGTTACTTTTAATTTCAATGAATGAGAAGAACTCACTGGGGAAAGAAAAGAAATTACACTCAAATCAGAGACCATCATGTATTACAACATATAGGCTGCTCACATGCCTTTAGGGGCCTTACAAGCAAAATATGGTGCAGCAAAAGTAAGGACTCCAATCCAAAGGGGAAGCGCTTTATATAGGGAAGGAAGGAGAAATGTTTCTATTCAAAGATACTTTATTAGAATGTTGCAATTATAGCCAATGCATCTTAGGTTGTAATATATCCCCTTTATCAGGGCAATAAACAGAAATATAAACACAATATCAGAACCATATATAAAAAGGCAACAAAGAGTAAAAAATTAAATTACATGGAAAAATTACTAACTTCAATATGCTGGATATCATGTACCGTATATACTCGAGTATAAGCCGTCCCGAATATAAGCCGTCCCGAATATAAGCCGAGGTACCTAATTTTACCCAAAAAAACAGTGCATGTCTTGAGTGCACTAAAATACACATCTATCTAACAGGGTTTTTCACAAAAGGGTGAAGAGTTTGAAGAAGGCATGAGAAGGGAACAATCTATATATATGCAAAAACAAATGAGGGTTTAATAAAACTTTAAGTTGATGAAATGTAATAAGCTAATATACCGTATTTTGCGGTCCATAAGACGCACCGGACCATAGGACGCAGGGAGGTCCGGCGCGCCTTATGGAGCACTCGACAGACTGTGGCTTCTGACACAGCTTCTATGACAGAAGCTGTGACAGAAGCTGCAGTTAGTGACCGCTGAGACAGGTGGCACTGTGATTACAGCGCCACGGTCTCAGTGATCACACAGAGCAGACGAAGAAAGTCTGTTCTTCGTCTGCTCTATGGTGATCTCGATCGTCGCCGCTGCTCGGTTTTAATACGAGTGATCTCATTAGATCACTCGTATTGAACGAGCAGTGGCTCCTACTGCTGAACGTGATCGCCGCCGCCGCTGCTCGGCTTTAATAAGAGTGATCTCATTAGATCACTCGTATTAAACGAGCAGTGGCTCCTACTACTCGCCCGGCGCCCGAAACTGCATGTCTCGGGCGTCGGAATTCGCTCCATAAGACGCAGGCACATTTTCCCCCTCCTTTTGGGGGGAAAAAAGTGCGTCTTATGGAGCGAAAAATACGGTAATTGTTTATTTTAATGAATTCTCATTAATCAGTCTCGCATATCAAAACTACCTTTACAGAAAGGCTGATAACTGGCACCTTCCATCTATCAGCTCTCATAAAATGTGCTATTCAAAGGTGTTTTATGTTCAAAATAAAGTTCCTCTTGATATAAAAGACATGTTGTCACCCTAAATTCTCCACTTACCACAACAAATATCATTTTATTTTAGTTTTTTTTAAATAAAACCAAAGTAATCAATGTTTTGAATGCAGTTACCAAACCTAACTGGTTTAGGGCCCCTGTATGAAAAAATATATTGTATAAAAATGGTCACTTTACATTTGTCTAAAATTCACATATGGGGAACCTTAGATCTTCTTTAAGAAAATTGTACATTGATGGTCCATAGTTTAGGTGCTAAGGGGTTTACATCTATGACCAGCAACAGGGCCAGTAGGAGATCTGAGCACAGATAATCGTCATACTTAAAGTGTATGCATAACCAATTTTTTTCTGGTTGTGAATAGAGTAGGGAAGGATTAGAATCCCAGCCACGTTCTCATTGCTGTCTGCTTGGCAAATTCCCTCATTCGCAAGAGGTGAGGATGGCTCTTTTAGTGGGGACACCCATTCTGTTGACAACTGTCTAAATTGGGGGTTTCCTCTCTTTTGTATCCATCAACTCTCACTTCCTGTTGAGTATGTAGGACCCAAGATGAAGCTAAATCTCCGCAGAGGGACTCAGAGAGCAAAAATAAACAGACTTAAACTATGGGGTAGGTGTTTTTCCCCATAGTTCTCTTTAGGGTCATGGGAGGACATATACTAAGCTCCTCCTGTGACCTAAGGCTCAGTATATTGCGGGCTATCGCCCACGATATACTGAGAGTGCCGCACCAGGGACAGATCCCAACAATACTGTTGAGATCCACCAAAGCTGCGTGAGTGACAGCTGGCTTTACCTATCTAGAGGCAGAGCTAGCTGTGCCCACCCCTCCCCTGTTCGTTCCTCCACTCAGCACTAGAGGATCGGAGAGGGGAGGGGGGAATCCTTGCGGGGAGCGGTGACTGACAGTCACCGCTCACTGCAGGGAGACGATCGGGAAGTGAGCAGATCGGTGCATGTTTCTGCTCACTTCCCGATCGATAGAGCCGACCTGTGACAGCTTCTTTGTCACAGTTTGGCTTTAACTATGAGGATGACTGGAAATCACTTACCTCATAGTTCTCCTTTAACCCTTTACTACTCTATCCAAAACAAAAGGAAAAACGTTCAAATAAACTGACTATAGGTCATACCTGTAAGAAATTTTTTTGAGATGTACCTGTTGTTTCCACCGTTGACCTGGATAGTGTTTACATCTTCTATCAGGAGCTTCCCATTGCGTAGACTGATGGCTTCCTCTGGCCATATATATGAACATCTCACATGTTCCTCTCTGTAAGTGCAGCTTTATATAATAAAGGAGTGATTCATCCACTAATTCAGGGTGCTTTGTCTTTTAGTGGCTCTGAATTTCTCTGTGCTATTCTAAAGGCTGAAAATAAGTGCAATATTCTTTCAGCACTCATTTACAGCTTTGGTTTCACTTGTACACATTTACATAAGTTTACATTTCCTGTAAGAATGTTTACAATTGAACAACGCCAGTCATAAAGTATATTTAAATCTATGTTTTAGGCTTGGAAAGTGTAAAGGAAGGGTTTAAACCCCTGTGTTTTATTTTTGCTTTGCCATCTCTGTCCCATGGGGGAGATTTCTCTTCACTCCCTGAGCTGTATATACAACAGAAAATGAGAAACTAGGGAAAGCCTGTCTTAGACACCTGTCAGTGTCCCCACTGGGAAACATGCTTTATTTCTGTGAGGAAACCCACAGCAGTTATCTGATATAGATTTTAACCCTTTCCTACTCTATCCAAAACGAAAAAAAGGAATGGCTGCCCTATTATTGCTCTCACTATGTGATCCAACTGTCAGTCCTCCTGAACTGGACCGTAAAGTGACTGTCATGAGAAAAGAATGGAGCTACCATTGCTGTCTTCTTACTGAAAATGCTAGCTGCCTGGTTGGCGTTAATACCTTTGAATTGCAAACCTGGACTAAGAATGGTGTATATGAGTGCCAGGTCAGAGACTCAGAAAGCATTGAAGCCAAAGCATCAGTATGACAGCCGGGGAACTAACATTCTCAAAGGAGAGGTTATTAGTAACAGAGCTTTTGTTTTTTCATGACAGAGTCAATGAACAAAAATGTAGCAATTTACACGAATTCATCAATTACAACCAGTGCACCTTTATAGCCTTCAAAGCCATTACCAGTTATGCCAGACTGCCAATTCAGGTCTCTTGTCAGACATTCTTGTTGTCCACATATAATGCCCTTTTTATATCACAGTGTAAGATGAATAACGCAGAACAAATGTATTTGTATTTAAATATATGCATATTTCTATGTTAGTACAGTTATTTTTATCTACTGAACTAAGTGGTGAATATTTGTATAGTATAGTAAAATTTCTCATGTTTTTTTGTCCTGCTGGTATAGCTCAATTTAGTCCAAACGGTTCATTACCCTAGATCTCTTTCATTTAAAGGTATTAGATAAGAAAAACAAAATCTCCCATAGCTTACAAAAAATCTGCAGGGTTGAAATGTGCAAAAACATCTATAATAAATAAAAACCAGTTAAAGATTTCCTTACATAGCTAAGCCAATACAAGAGAGAGCACACTGAACTCCAAAGATCTGGCCAGAGACCTAAGGACCTATTCACACCAACCTGGTCTTCTGCGGTGCATTGTATCATTTGAATGGACTGCCTAATGCACCACAACAGACCAAAAATTGTGCATGCAGCATATTTGACAACACAATGCATGTTGCACTGCAATGCACATCCATTGGCAGTAGGGATGCACCGATACCGGTATTTTGGTACCGAGTACGAGTACCGATAATTTTTTTCCGGTACTCGCCGATACCAATTACCGAGTAACGGAAGTCCCATTCAGGAAGCCAGGTGACATGTAATGACTCACCACCTGGCTTCCTGATTAACAAGAAAGTCCCCTCTTACCTTAGTATGTGCAGCCTGTCACCCCCGGGGCCTCTCCAGCGAGAACGCGGCCTTCGTCCGGTACCCAGCCGGAGCCATCTGGCCGGCCAATCAGGAAGCCGGGCGCCGTGTAATGATGCGACGCCCTGCTTTCTGATTGGCTGGGAGGCCGGCTCTATGCTCTCTTGTCATGAGATGACGAGGGAGCATGAAGCCAGCTTCCCGGCCAATCAGAAAGCAGGGCGTCGCGTCATTAGATGGCGCCCGGCTTCCTGAATGGACGGCTCCGGCTGGGTACCGGACGAAGGCCGCATGCTTGCTGGAGAGGCCCCGAGGGGTGACAGGCTGCACATACTAAGGTAAGGTAACCTTACCTCACTAGGCCAGCTTCCTGATTGGCCAGCTTCCCGACCAATCAGGAAGCCAGGCAGCGCGTCATTACACGCTGCCCGGCTTCCTGATTGGCCGGGAAGTCGGCTCCATGCTCTCTCATCACAAGTGACGAGAGAGCATGGAGCCGCTTCCCGGTCAATCGCAAAATCGGGCAGCGTGTATTAACGCGCTGCCCGGCTTCCTGATACCGGAAGTACTCGTGCTAGGCATCGGAGCATTTGGGCGAGTATGAGTACTTGCCCAAATACTCGGAATCGGCACCGATATCGATACTAGTATCGGTATCGGTGCATCCCTAATTGGCAGGGTGCCTTTCAGAATAAAAGCGTATATGCCGCAATGTAAAAGTGTGAATGGGCCCTTAAAGCCCAACTTCTGCAAAAACTTTTTTTCTTTTGCATAGAGTGAGGAAGGGTAAACCTTTGCCAGTTTTTGTGTTCCTGTTGGTGAGATTTCATCTTACTCAAGGACAAGAGCACGGGAAATCTCTTTAACGGAGACACTGAGAGACAAGAAACGAACCTGGTAACGACTATTAATATTATACAGGATTTATATATATAGCGCCAACAGTTTGCGCAGCGCTTTACAATATAGGGAAGACATTACAATTACAATACAATTCAAGATGACATGGTAAGGAGGGCAATTGTATAAGAAGGGAATTCTCCTAACGTTGTAGAGATTTCCTCCAACTTCCTGTTGTATCCACAGGCCAGGAAGTGAGGTGAAATCTCCCCAATGGGATGCAGACAGAAAATAAACTGACTGGGGTTTTTAACCATTCCCTATTGTTTCCAAATGAGACCAAGGACAATTCCCAGCATTTAGATGTCATTACCAGAGTCCATGAAAGAGAAGCTAGAGTTTGATTCAACTCACCATAA